TTGTCCTTCAACTTGTAAACAAAAATGGTCAATTTGGGAAGAGGAGATAAGATCGCAGAAATTTCTCTCAAATTGTCCTTCAGTTTGTAAATAAAAATAGGCAATTTGGGAAGAGGAGATAAGATCACAGAAAATTCTCCAAAATTATTCTTCAACTTGTAAACAAAAATGGACAATTTGGGAAGAGGAGATAAGATCACAGAAAATTCTCCCCAATTGTCTTTCAGTTTGTAAATAAAAATAGACAATTTGGGAAGAGGAGATAAGATCGCAGAAAATTCTCCCAAATTGTCCTTCAACTTGTAAACAAAAATGGACAATTTGAGAAGAGGAGATAAGATCACAGAAAATTCTCCCCAATTGTCCTTCAGTTTGTAAATAAAAATAGACAATTTGGGAAGAGGAGATAAGATCGCAGAAAATTCTCCCAAATTGTCCTTCAGTTTGTAAATAAAAATAGACAATTTGGGAAGAGGAGATAAGATCACAGGAAATTCTCCAAAATTATTCTTCAACTCGTAAACAAAAATGGACAATTTGGGAAGAGGAGATAAGGTCGCAGAAAATTCTCCCAAATTGTCCTTCAGTTTGTAAATAAAAATAGGCAATTTGGGAAGAGGAGATAAGATCGCAGAAAATTCTCCCAAATTGTCCTTCAGTTTGTAAATAAAAATAGGCAATTTGGGAAGAGGAGATACGATTATTAAGTCGCCGATCGTCAACAATTATAAACACAAGGCGCAAGGCTCGAACAATCGTATCTCCTCTACCCAAATTGTCCATTTTTCTTTACAAGCTAAAAAACAATTGGGGAGAATCTACTGAACTTCGTAATCAAAAAGCTTTTCCACAGACAAAAGTTAGTGTTCAGTCTGACTCGACGTAGGATTGGAAAGGGTTAACGGTGAAATCCATTTATTAACGCTAAAAGTTTGTTCATAGAAGTTGTAATATTTTCTATAAAAGCATCAATTGAAAGTAAAACATTTCAGAGGCAAGCTTCCAAACTTTTACAAACGAATTCTTCGGTAATGAAATTTAGCGGCTCGAAAGGAAATTAACTCCGGCGTGAAAATACAAATGCAACGTCCGAGATGAGGACCCTTGAAACGGAAGAACGAGAGTCGCTATCAACGGTAAACGAAATGCTCGAGCTCCAGAACTGTTGCACGATCTTTCTTGTAGTCCTTGAAATCGTGAAGTACGCTAAATCGCTTTCGTGTGTTTACGTTTCGCGATGCCAAGCGAACACGACTTTCTTTCAAGACCTTCCTTAACCGTTTGGCTGCTGACGTATTTTTTCATAACAAGAAGAGCAACATAAGAAGAGCGCGATAGCGTTCCTCAGCAGTCGAACGGTTAAGCACGGCTACCGGATTTCTTGTTTATCCCGAAGGGATGAACGGAACTACTTTGCCCCCAGAAGGCTTTCGCAGGACAAAGCTTCCCTAAACTGGTGCTTACGAGAAACGTTACCATCCCTATTGAGGTAAAGTTTATATTTAACCCCCGCCATACCACGTCCGGGATTTTTTCGGACCCAGAGCACGAGGCATGTCTTGACTGTTTCAGACTTGATGCGGTCTGCGGTTTGTTTATGCTGGAGCAACGACGAGAAATACGGAAACAGATGTAGCAAATTATTAGACTGCGGACCTTCACGCAAATTCTAATTTATATACGCTATTTTGAAGAAAGTAGAATTAAGGAAACCTTATTAATTATTAAGAATTATTAAATTATTATAAAAATATTAATAATTATAATAATAATAATATAATAATTATAATTATAATAATAATATATAATTATTATTTATATATATATAATAATATTAATAATATTAATTATTAATTATTATTATAATATATAATTATTATTTATATATATATATATATATATATATATATATATATATAATAATTATGATAATATAATAATATATTAATAATATTAATTATTAATTATTAAGAAGAATTAAGGTATCCTTGGTCAATTATCAGAGCATCAATTGTGAACAGCAAATGAAAATGTTATTAGAGCTTGATAATTTCTAGGTTTTATTGCATTTTGAAAATCTGCAGATGCCAGAAATGCATGAAGATCCGCAGTCTGGTAATAATAATAGTGAGAATAATAACGATGATAATGACAACAAAAAATACTAGTGCACACTGTTCATATACATAAGGTGATGGGTCCGTCTGGACCCGCGGCTACTGCGAGGGTTAACACAGAATTTGAGAAAACATTTCTACGTGTTCTTTCTTAGCGACCATTAATTACATTCGTGTAGTTCTTCGAATCTTCGTTCATGTAGTTCTTCAAAAAATATAGTTGTTTATCCTCTATTTCCCACCCAATCCGATCTAGGTTTTCTTGCTAGATATTCATAAAGACTTTGCCAAAAAATTGTAGGAAAATACAACACTGAATATTCGTTTGGTACTTGAGGATAAATGAGTGATATTCACTTGAATTTGATTTGTAATTACTGGATTGCAGATCCAATAAAACTATATTTCTTCTCTTAATGATTTTAGTAGGTTGAGGGTAAAGAACCAGTTATTAGTCAAGTCTTCTAGTGTTTTCGCTGTTATTGACATGTTAATTGAAGTATTATCTCAAATATTATTAAAATATTATTTCAAATATTATTGAAATATTATTTCAAATATTATTGAAATATTATTTCAAATAAGTTAGATAAACATTGACAAGTTTTGTCAAATAACATTGTCAGATGCTTTTGGAATAAAATTTCAAATAATATTGTTATAATGTCGGAAATTTCGTATTCTAAATAATGTCATTTTAAAGGTGCTCAAGTCTGCTTACGAAAGAACCTGTCCCTTCTGGGTAAGAGCATATACGAAAGTACAACTGCTTTCCTTTTTTTAGATACTCATGAATGAACTGCGGATTTTATGCATTTATGTTTCAAAAATTTCATTAGTAGAATATCAAAATAGTCTACCTAGAGGTTAAATTAATGAATCTGCAATTATATTTCTTTGCCAACCCAATAGATCGTGGCGTTTGTTCGGNGAAAATAGTAATATAAAAATATATATATGTATAATAGAATATATATTATAGATATATATATATATATATATATATATTCTATTCTATATCTATAATTTAGAATCTCTCTCTCTCTCTCTCTCTCTCTCTCTCTCTCTATTATAATATATATATATTCTATTCTATATCTATAATATAGAATATAGAATAGAATAATAATAATAATAATAATAATAATAATAATAATAATAATAATAATAATAGAATATATATATATATATATATATAAAATATATATTATAGAAAAAATAATAGAAAATAAAAATAGTAGAATAGTAGAATAGCAAAATAGCTAGGTTAAATTATTTCAGGAATATCGATATATTATTCGAAATTTTTTTGAATGATTGAAAGAAGAAACGAAATGTCGATTCGGCATCTATTTCTTGCGGCATCTGTTTTCTCAATTTTAATTTGGCATAAAAATCAGCGGTCTGCTAACGAACCATTCGAAACTATCCAGCTAAACTCGTACCTGCTTCCGACGACCTGGTTAATTAACCGCGTCTCTGGTTCTACATGTTGCGGCACAGAATGTGAACCGATCGGGAACGAGAAAGCACAACATTGTGTCCGCGTTCCCGACCGAATCGTTTCCTTCGTACTATGCCGTTCTGGCTTGTTGTCGCCGACAAATGCCCACATCCTCTCGTGCAGAAAGTTAATGCGTTAAACTTCAGTTCGCAAATCCATGCTCGGCACGAACCGGCCGCGCGGCCGTCTTATGAACGTGGGCGTTACTTGAGGCACGTGCCACATGTTCTTGTCCGTCTTCCGAGCACAGCTTCGCCTCACAGACGTTCCAGTTACTTCAATGCCAAAACGATGCAGCGTACGTCCTTTCGTATCGCCACTCGTTACTGATGCCGCAATTGATTCACTCGATTCGTCATTGTGCACGACCTATTATCAAGGCTCAATGAAATATCGATCGCAGACGAGCACGCGACACAAAAAGTGTGGATGCGATCAGGTATTTCCCTAAAAATTTTCGCATAAAAATAGAATACTTCTATAACCATAATTTGTTAATACAGTAAATTCTCCCTAATTCTCAAAAAGTGTGCATACGATCAGGTATTTCCTTAAAAATGTTTGCATAGAAATAGAATATTTTTATAACCATAATTTGTTAATACAGTAAATTCTCCCTAATTCTCAAAAAGTGTGCATACGATCAGGTATTTCCTTAAAAATTTTTGCATAAAAATAGAATACTTTTATAACCATAATTTGTTAATACAGTAAATTCTCCCCAATTCTCAAAAAGTGTGGATACGATCAGATATTTCCCTAAAAATTTTTGCATAAAAATAGAATACTTTTGTAACAATAATTTGTTAATACAGTAAATTCTCCCCAATTCTCAAAAAGTATGGATACGATCAGGTATTTCCCCAAAAATTTTTGCATAAAAATAGAATACTTTTATAACCATAATTTGTTAATATAGTAAATTCTCCCCAATTCTCAAAAAGTGTGGATGCGATCAGGTATTTCCCTAAAATTTTTTGCATAAAAATAGAATACTTCTATAACCATAATTTCATAATACAGTAAATTCTCCCCAATTTTTCTTCAGCTTGTAAACAAAAATGGATAATTTGAGAATAGAAGATAAGATCGCAGAAATTTCTCCCAAATTGTCCTTCAACTTGTAAACAAAAATGGACAATTTGGGAAGAGGAAATGAGATCACAGAAAATTATTATATATTATATTATATATATTTAATACATAATATTAATATTAATAATGATAATAGTAATAATAATATTATATATATATTTAATATATTATATTTATGTATATAATATATAATATATACATTATATATATCATATTTTATATATATAAAATAAAATAAAATAATATATATAAAAATAATCGTAATTTTTGTTGCTTTTTTATAGTGTACCAAAGGCTGCGAAGAATGGCAACGAGCCCTCGAAACGAGTTGCCAAGCCGTCTGCGTTAGTACAAATTAACTAAATAACCACACCATTCGCACCAGAGCACTGCATGGTTTATTCTCTATTATAATTCTACGATTAATATAACATGAACTGTTTACAGAACGGAACGCAAGAGTTACTTCCGCCCAAGGAACTGTACTGCGTCCTGGGTTGTCACGACGCGTTGAATCGTTATTTTCAACAATTGAAAGGTAAAACAACATATTATCCCCTAAATCGTTACACAGCGTAACAGACCGCCTGTCTCGGAACATACACAGTTTTACAGGACGAAACTCTTAAGAACGTAATCGACCGTGATATCTCTGCTTCAACCGAGGAGCCTCGATTAAAAGTTCGCGAAGTCTTTGGTGAAACGGTCGACGTTGTCGACGGTGAACGGCTCCTCGACGTACTCGTCGAAGTTGCTCGAGTCGTCGGGGCTCGGGCACGTGGGTATGAAGCTCGGCTGGATCTTCTGATGGTAGATCATGTTCCAGTCGGTCGATTGGAACCATTTGTGGCCCTTGATGTCCAGGGTGCCGTTCTTCAGGTTCCCGTACCGTCTGGTCAGGTCCACCTGTAGTATGTTCTTCAGGATGTCGCGCAGCTCCTCGCCGAAGTGTTGCGCGTACTTGTACTTTCCCGAGATGATCTTCTCGTAGATCTTCATCGGCTCGCCGGAATAGAACGGCGGATAGCCGGCGTTCATCTCGTAGATGAGCACGCCGAAGCTCCACCAGTCGACCGACTTGCCGTAGCCCTTCGAGAGTATCACCTCCGGCGCTAGATACTCGGGCGTGCCGCACAGCGTCCACGTTCTTCCGTCGATCATCTTGCAGAACCCGAAGTCGGTCATTCTAATGTAACCGGAACTGTGAATCAAGATGTTCTCCGGCTTCAGGTCACGGTACACGAGACTGCAATGGTGCAGGTACTCCAGCGCGAGCAGCACCTGCGCCGCGTAGAATCGCGCCAAAGGCTCGTCGAACTTGCCCATTCGCCTCAGATGGGTGAACATCTCGCCCCCGTTTATATAAGGCAGCACCAGGTAGACGTACGAGTTGTCCTTGAAGCAGTACTCCATGTAGACGACGAAAGGGAACCGCACGCACTGCAGTATCCTCTTCTCGTTGTACGTGTGGTTCACTTGCTTCATCTTGACGACCTTGGACTTGTCCAGCACCTTCATCGCGTAGAAGACCGACGTCGGCTTGTATTTGACGAGAAGAACACGGCCGAACGCGCCGGTCCCGATCGTCCGGAACCGTTCGAAGTCTTTGATGGTGCAGCTGTCAGTTTTGTTAACCTTCCATCTCTCGACGAACGCGGCCTTCAACTCGTCCAGTATGCTCTGGTACTCTTGAAACGCGCGCATTCGTTCCGGATTCATGACGGCACGCTTGTCGTGCGAACGAGACGCTCTCTTCTTCTTCGGGTCCTCCTTGGCTTTCTTCGTCGGTTTACTTTTCGTTTGTTGAGCCTTTGTTGTTTGCTTCATTTAACCAACGACTCGGCGAGCTCGACGGGACCTCTGCATCGGCGAGAAACGATGCGTTTTACATGTGATATCGATATCGTTACGATTCGGAGGACGGTTCCATTCGATTCGCGCGACTTTCTCTTGTCGGTTTCGCGGCGAAGCTCTCCGTATAAACATAACCCAAACTGTTGTTGCCGTTTTCGTGGGCAGCTTTGGACGTTCCGGATTAGCACGGACGATCATAGATTCGGCGATTATGCCCGAGACATCGCATCCCAAAAGTGTCTATCGTTAACCGTTTGAGTCAAAAGCAGCGCGATCCCGCTGTTTCGATTTTTAGTCGAAAAGTTACAGGACATTTGAACGTTATTAATTAATATATATAATAATATTATATGTATATATACATATATATAATAATAATATAATAATTATTATTATTATATTATATATATATAATATTATAATTATTATTATTATATTATATATATAATATTATAATTATTATTATTATATTATATATATATATATAATATTATAATTATTATTATTATATTATATTATAATATTATGGACTAATATATGAGCCGTTTATTTTGAAAGTGGCATAAGTCACTTTACCGTAATGAAAAGTCAGTATTTATACTGAGAAAAATATCTCTCTCTCAGTATCCTGAGATAACAAATACAGGTAAATCTTCTCGAAAGTTAGCATCCATATTTCTTAAACGTGTTAAAACGCAAACTCAAAATAAACGGCTCATATTATGGAATTCAGTGGAACGAAGGTATTTTCGCGTACACCTGTTTCTATCAATGTTGACATTAATTTGTCACGAAGTACCTTATATTTTTCTTGAAGTCTGATGGCTAAAGGGCGGATGCTTTTTTGCGATAAATAAAAATCGTCTAAGTTGATTGTAAGAGATACAGATGAAAATGTCTTTCCCTCTTCGAATCATTGTAATCGAGTGAAAATAATGCATCGATGCCTTTAAATTGCTTCCGAAGTCCTCTTTTCAGTTTCGTGGAAAGTGTTAAAGCTTTCGTAAATTCCATTTATAGTGCTAACCACGCTGCCAGCAATTTGCATTTTATTGCCTATATTAACCCTTCGCACTCGAGTGGTGAATCTGAGGCACCGTTAAAATTATTATACCACGTTCCAAGGTAATTTTTATATTATCGAAAAAAGCTCAGATTTATAAAATTGTTGAAAGCGTAACTGTGTACGAGTCACAAATCTCGATTTCATATTCATAAAATGCACTTTTTAATATAAAATGGAAATACTATAAATCAGAGAAATAATGTTAGATTCACGGTTAAAACGGCTTCGAGTGCAAAGGGTTAAGCGTCCAAAGGGTTAAGCGTCCATCGCGCGCGCAATGTGGTAACGATGTGATCACCGTATGCCCATCTGGCAGTCTATTATATTAGGTTGTCAAGTATGAAATGGAGCAAAAAATGCACATAATTGAATTCGATTCTTTTTCCAATAAAAACTTTTTATTTTTCATCAAAGCATGCACCCATATTATCGATACACTTTTGCCATTTTAGAGGTAACTCATTTGTCCCTTTGTTGTAGAAGCCTGGATCACGGGAGTCGATGAACTCTTGAAACGCCATTTTGACAGCCTGTGCGGAATTGAATTTTTTTCCAGATAAAAGGTTGTTTAAATTTTGAAAGAAACGATAGTCAGTGGGGGCAGGGTCTGGCGAGTACGGTGGGTGACGGAGAGTTTCCAACTTCAACTCCTGTAGCTTTGACACGGTCGTTCGTGCGGCACGTGGTCGAGCGTTGTCGTGCAGGAGGATTGGAGTCATCGGTCAATTCATGCGGTATCCACTTGTCCAGCTTTTTCACTTTACCGATTTCTGCCAAATGAGTCAAGATTGTTTGCTTCGATACATTGTACATTAATGATAATTCACGCGCACTTTGGCTGGGATTCGCTTCCGCAGTGGCTTTCAGGACGACGTTATCCACCCGAGTCTTGGGTCGACCACGTGGTTCATTAGACAGGTC